ACAGGCAAGGTCAGTCATGTTTGTGAGGCAGTTTCTGGCACATTTGAAAAAAAAAAGAAGCAACACAATTGAACTTTGTCACTGAAAAACTGTTGCTGTCATCAGCTGTCCGATTGTCTTTTCCCTGCTCCTGTTGCCAAGACACATCTGGGGGAAGCATCTTAGCTATCTGATCAAGTGCTTTCGCACTTGGTTCCAGCTGGGCATTCTGTGCAGAAATATAGTTGGGCACATGTGACAGTGATCACTAAAGAACCAGTATTGCCTATTGAAATTAATTGGTGCTTGACCTGCTCAATAAGAATTCTGTGTTAGTCCAGAGACCTGCTGATTATGCCTGCTTCCAGGATACCATTCCCCTCCGGCAGTCAGCACTGGGCTGTTTTGGTTTTGCTGTCTCCCTCCTCAAGGCTTTCTCTGCTGGTGGTGTTTTTGGATAGGCAAAATGTTGAGTTTCCTTAAGCCTTCTAATAATAACCCCTCATGTGTAAATGATGCCATATTGACTAAGTAAGGATCCTCTTTTGGAGAACTGATTTCACTGTTGAGTAGATATCCTAAGTGAGGCTAGACTGAGATCTGCTGCTAAATCTCTGGGTAACTAGTACTAGATCTCCAAGTTCTGTCACTTGATATATTAACAATAGCAAGTAAAATTGCAGAGAAAGTATTTATTGAAAATATTTCTATACTTCCCTCCATCAAATAAATTTATAAAATGTAATAAAAAACCTAATACAATATATTATAAAAACAATAAACCAATGGCATCAGTTATCACAACAAAAGGCAGGAAACACATAAAATAGGCAACTTACCTCAGTCAGTGAAGGAGTGAAACAGAATGGTTACAAAACAGCCAGTTCTGTCACAGATTCACCATTGTTTTAAATCAATCACAGCTGTGAAGAATTTGTTAGCCCAAAAGAGTGTTATTTATTTGGCTTGCCTGCCTGACATTCTGTTTGTTTATAACAATATAATATATCTTTTGCACACAAATTGACATTTGTCGTAGAAGTTCATTTCAGGTTTGATTATCATAAAATAGCCATACATAGCGTTTAACAAACATTTTGGAAGAGCAAAGGGCCTGAAGCAATATTGTATTATTTTAAAAGGTAATATTTTTAATAATCCAAAATAGTTCAGTTTGTAAAAAAATGGAGGGGGGCGTGGAGGAGGAAGGAAAGTGGTCCTTATGGGAAAAAACAGGAAAAAAGGTCCAGAATTATTGTTGTCGTTGTTGTTACTGTTATCCAGCCCTTCACATTTACTTGACCCCCATATGTTCAATTTGAAATGTAAGGAAACTGTAAGAAAAATGTAAGAAGTATTTTAAAGTAGTACCTGTCTTGAAGATTGAGATACTAAATGGAAATTGATGTGCATATGACTTTGCTTTTTGCTGCAATTTCACATGCATTTTCAAAGGGATCAGGGAAGTTGGAAAATCCAGTCAATTTCCAGCAGGATCCTGGATTGTCCTTGAAAAAGTCACCTTTTTTTTTTTTATAAATGTGAAAATGTTTTCATTGGACAGAGTCATTTTATAGCATATTTTTGTGAAAAACAGGGCAGGATGTTTAGGATTCATAAACTTAAGCTGTACCAATAAATATTTAACTATCTACTGCATTTATGAAGCAGTTTAAGGCAAAGCTCCTGTAAAGCAGCTGAGTGCATTTTTTAAATATACAGTCACTTTCTGCATATTTTGAAAAAGGAAGCTTTCATACACTGTATTAATGCCTGTCATTTAATAATATTCTTCTGTGTACCAATTGTGAAGGTAGAACACTAAATCAATAAAGAAAAAACAGGAGAATAATGGAACAGCATGCGGGGAAGAAAGAGAATGTCGATAAAACGATAGTGAGGTGTGTAATTCTATTGAGTCGTAAGACTGATAGAGTCGTAACGGCAGGGGAATGACACTGTGGTCCCTAAACATAGAAGGCATAGGATAGTTTGGATTCTCAGCTGCAAAGTAAGGGTCAGAGCTGAGAATCAGAGTTCCTTTTCTCCATCCTGCTGCAGCCCATGTGGAAAGAAGCATGCTGCCTGCTTCTCCAAGGTTAAGGTCAGAGGGGGCAGTTCAGTAGGAGACTGGGGTAGTGAGGACCTGAAGCCGTTGGAGGCTCTTTTTCCTCTCCCTTTTTCCTCTAGCTACTCCTAGAAAATGGCTGTTGGGTGAAATGCAGGGGGAGAGGGGCAGGGCAGAGGTTGCCTCTGTTGTTCCTCCCACTCTGCATTGGATAACTTTGTGCCAGAGCTTGAGAGCTTATGGGCATCCCCATCAGATTGTGCCCAACTGTGAAGAATGCTGAAAGATCTGTTGCTGGCACCAGGTGACATAAGGAGATCTTGTTGGTCTATGGGATGGTGCCTAAATTATTGCCTCCTGCTGCATGAACCGGCATAGTATTATGTTCATGCTCTGAGCCTTTATCTTTTCTTTCTGCTCCCCTGCTAGGAAGTCAGGTAAATGTTGACCAGAAAACTAGTGGTGCCGTCTTCTTCTTGCTAGTATTAGCAGTTACCATAGGATTAGCTACCATTTTCTTTTGGGTGGTAGGTGACAACCTTCATTTTTTAGACCAATTCATTTTTTAAATGCTGGAACTTTATTTTCTCAGCTTCATTTTACGTTCCATCTTTGTTGTGTACTTAATATTGTCATGTCTTTACTTGTATCCTTTGCATTTTAGTCTTGCTGAAAAGCAAGCAATAAGCTTGCCAAATAAATTTTGTTTTCAGATGTATCTCTAGCAATCTAGATTAGACAGGCGTGCAATAAGCCCTTGGCAGTTTCCTCAGTCCTTTGCTAAAGTTTCTGCTCCTCCCTTGTGCTGGCATTGCCTCTGTACTCTTGTCCCAGAAGCCACCCAAATTAGGATGTTTAGAAGCTGGAAATGTAGGCTTTGTAAAACTCAATGCATTTTAGACCACTCCACATAGCCCAAGCAATTTTTAAACAGAAGTTTTGGGCTGGTGAATTCACCAACAGCAGACATTGTTTCTTTGTGTCCTTGCCTCTCTCCTGTATATGCATTTGATAACTGTGGTGTTGCCTCATCAGGCTGTCATTATGCTCACGTAGACACAAGTGAAGGCCCTCTGCCAGGTGCTTTGCCTACTGCGGTGGGTGGCGCTGGAAAGCAGAGGTGCTTTCCTCCCAGGTAGCGCCTGTCTGGTGTGTCTGGCAAGGCCTTCTTATCTGATCAACCCACTGCATTTAAAAATCATCTAGCACTCTTATTGCTTACCCCTCTTTAAGCCACCTTGTTCTTTTTCAATTACTGCACTGAAAAATGTTTGTACTTTATTGCTTTATCTGAAGAACATAAGAAGAGCCCTGCTGGATCAGATCAAAGTCCTGTCTGGTGTAGGATTCTGCTTCACACAGTGACCAACCTTGTGAAAACCCACAAATGGGCCATGAGCCCCATTGCCATCTCCCACTGATACTTAGAGGCATCTTATAACTAAGAGCCATGAAGGTATGGTTGTGCTATTCCATAACAAAAGCTGCTGTTGCTTCTGGGTTCCAAAGGAACAACTGATTCTGGATATGCCCTTTTTGCATGAACTCTGATTTGGATGTGCTTGGCCTTTTATTGTTTCTTGTAGCATCAGCCTTTCCAAGTGAACAGATGTCTGTGCACTGAGACAGTGTGGGGAAAGAAGCATTCTGTCCATGTTGAAGCAAGAATGCTATCCTGCATAAAATTCATCCTAGGATTACTAGAGCTGGTCCTTTGAGCGGAGCCAGCTGGTGCCGGAGGTCAGACTAGATGGCCCGGGAGGTCCGTTCTGACTTGCTCTGTTTCTTTGTTTCTATGCCTAGGCCTGCTAGTGCAGATGCTTTTGGAGAGGGAAGTGCTGCAGTAACAGTGGGAAAGAAATGTAATTAACAGAAGGATGCTTATTTGACAGAAGAGGCAGCACAATATATGAAGGGAAGTCAGCAGGAAGGAGGTTTGGAATAGGTTTCAGCAAGTGATGTAAAAGAAGGGAAAGCCTGATCTTGAAGGGCTTGAAAAACAAAGAAATGACAGGATCTGGCAGTGGCTTGTAATAGAAGGAAAGCAGAAGCTGAAGATTATTTCAGATTGTCATGTTTTGGAGACATGAAACACATTAACTTGGACAATGACGGAGAAATGCAAAGGAGTGAGAGTGTGAGCAGAAGGACTCCTATCTTGATGCTGTATATGAATGGCAAAATAATTGATGATTAATTCTCACCTATATACCACCGCTGGAAGTGCATAAGGTTGCCATGCTATATGCTGGCTATGCTATTGAGTCAGTGATTGCAAAGATATGGTAACACCATCATTTTTGCAAGACAACTGCAGAAATTCTTTTCTCTTTATTCCTTTGTTTTTCAGACCATTGTGGGAAATCGTATGTTGGTACAACTGTATTAGGCTGTTCTTTTCTAGCTGAAATTGCATAACAGCTTCACTTTTCATCTCCCACACTGCCATGATGATGATGTTCAACAGACATTTGAAATAAATCATAGACTCACAGAAGCATCAGCTGACTTCTCTACAATTAAATCATATCTGGCAGATGCACATTCATCCCCTTCTCTGTCTTTTAAACCTCTTGGGAAAGAGAATCTATATCTTTTCTGCTCAATGTTGTTCTTAAGAAATAGAGAACAACCTGTTCTCGCATTTAAAATATTTCCTGATATCCATCCTACTTCTGCTGTGCTCATGTTATGTTGCTGGTGCTTAAATTCTACATGGGCCACCTTGAAGAAATTCTACCAGTGTATAATTTTAAAACCTGTTAATATCTTGAAGGTTACTGCTTTTGAAAGGATGTCTTACAGATAAATTCATGTCTTACCCTTTATGTCCTGATTGCCTTTGTGGTGGCAAGGGGAGTGGGGAATTTGTGAAATACCTAGTGGTTCCTTTCAGACCACATGGTCTTGTGGCAAAGACAAATAGTTGTTCATTATTATGTGTATGTTGCAGATAAATCAGAATGTGGAGATCCAGAGGGGTCGCTTGCGTGATGACATCAAAGAGTATAAGTTCCGAGAAGCTCGTTTGCTGCAAGATTACACTGAACTTGAGGAGGAGAATATCTGCCTTCAGAAACAAGTTTCTGTTCTGAAACAGAATCAGGTGATGTTGAAATCTTGCTTTCAGAGGCAAGGCACTTGATATCAGATTTTCTTGTGCTCATGGAAAGCTTCTAGCTTGCCTCCAGTGCCACAGACTTCACTCAAGAAAATTGCATGACTGGCTTAGTGTGCACCCATTACAATTTCACTTTTTGGTGAAATGAAGCAGCTTTTCCCAACCCTGGTGCCTTCCAAATATTTTTGAATACACTGTCCAGCATCCTGATCATTAGGTGTGCCATCCAAATGGTTAGAGCTGATTAAAGTCAGTCTAAAATATCTGGAGGACACCAAGGTATGGAAGATTGCTCGAGGTTCAACTTTTTTTAACTTACTCAATGCAAATAACTTAATTTATTTTGTGGCAGGGCAGCTATATTAGTGTATTGCAGCAAAGATAGTACTGAGCCTTGTGGCATCTTAAAGACTAACAAAACATATTCTAACAAAACTTTTATGAACCAGAGTCAACTTCATCAGATACAAAAAGTGTTATTCTGAGGTGGTAGGCACATATTCTGTGATTTCTTGGATATATGGCTAAGTACTGTATATATTCATGTTAGTTTCATATCTTATATGGAATTGAAAGTAACCTGAAATTTGAAATGCATCTGATGTTACAACCTGATTTTTCTCTAATGAATCAATCTAAAATCTAAAAATGGAGACATCTTAAGTTAGGTAAGGCAGGCTGTAACTCAGCATGCAGCATTACACAACATGGAATATCAGTATATTAAGAAGGAGAACAATTCTTGACTTTCTTGGTCTCATATTTACAGGACATTTTAGTACTTTCTTTTTAACTTCTTAGTCTCAGAAATGTTACTGACACTTTTTATCTCATAGGTGGAATTTGAAGGGTTGAAACATGAAATCAAGAGGCTCGAAGAAGTAACTGAATTCCTCAACAGCCAGCTAGAAGATGCAATACGATTAAAAGAGATATCTGAACGCCAGCTTGAGGATGCCTTAGAAACCCTGAAGACAGAACATGAACAGAAAAGTAACCTCCGGAAGGAGCTGTCTCATTATATGAACATCAATGATTCCATGTATACCAGCCATTTGAACATCTCTCTGGATGGACTGAAGTTCAGTGATGAAACTACAGAGCCTAATAATGATGAACTTGTGAACGGCTTCGAACAGAACTGCTTGAGTAAAATCAACAATGGCAATAATAAAGCACCCACACCCAAGAAAAATGAGAACTTCCCTCCAGCCCCTAGTCTTGTATCCGATCTTTTAAGTGAGCTGAATATATCTGAAATTCAGAAGCTGAAACAGCAGCTTATGCAGGTAAATATTTATTAATAATAGGTATTGATTAGTGTCCTGAAATTATGAATTCAACAGAATCTATGTTATTTGAAGGTTCTGTTTTCTTTCAGGGAACTTCTTATTAGTACAGTGAAATAACATGTGGTATATTTGAACTTATCTTTTCAACATGTGTATCAGGCTGATTTTTATCATCAACTATATTATTGACACATACCTGAAATATCAGCAAACTGATTCGCTGGTTTCAAAAAAGTGGACTTAAAAGAGAGAATTAATTTTAGTAATTTTTTAGGTCTCCAGACTATTCTTGAATATTTTCTTAGCCTTACATACTTATGTTCCCTCATACTGTATGTGTTTCGAGCAGAACAAAGTATAAATAATCTGCTAAATTTGAAGTCCTCTTTTTGTCCCAGGTTTATGTAGAATTCATTGGAGAGGAGTGTTGTCACATTTCATCAGATATTGAAGTTGTACAGCAATGTATACATTTAAATAGATTATTTCTTTTCTGGTTCAATTTTTGCCATTCTTAAGCTACTGGTTTTGGGGAAGAAAATGTTCCTAAATTTCAGCATGTGCTCAAAGTATTTTTTATTGATGTTTCAGAAGAAAGAGGCCCAATTATAGGATTGTGCAAAGAACTCCATGAATAGATATAAAATGCCCAATTTACACATACAAATTAATGAATTGTTTAACTCAGGAATTGTGACTGCACATGAGTGAGCACACTGTCTTCTGTTCATCTGCCACTTTGCACCCACTTTGGGAAACAACCCAGGAATTCCCAATTTTTCCCCATATTGGTTGTGTTGTCTCTGGGTTAAAACTGTGGGTTGTTACTCTCAACAATCCCGAGTGCTGGGTCTGAATGTCACAACAATCCAGGAATGCAAAATGGGTGAGGGGATAGGAGTCAGGGTGCTTGAATGTGTCCCTGGGTTCATGGGTTAAACAATTCATAAATAGCTGCTGTTGTTGCTTGAAGACACAATGATAAAATGTAATGCTGTTTGCTGTATTCTTGCAGTCAGCTACATTCTTACTGATGCATATGCTGTGTGATCTATCATCTTTGAAAACACAGCATGATACCTTAGCGTTCCCCATTTTGTGAATGCACCTGTAAGCCCAAGTCTGAGCATTGTGCAGAATAGTAGTGGTTGATTCCTTTGCTTATGTGTGCAAATGCAGAACACAACTAGTTGAAGTAATGAATGTGAATTGTATCAAGTCAAATCAGAGGTCAGCCCATGTCTGTACTTCTCTCGCATTAGATAATTATGGCCTTAGGCAGATATCTATCTGTACTATTCTTTCAACTTCGTTTAAGATCTTTCATGTCAGCTGTTATATCAGTTATATGTTTAGGAAGGTAAATGTTATTTATTTATTTATGTATTATAGATGGAAAGGGAAAAATTGAATTTGTTGTCTACACTCCAAGAGTCTCAAAAACAATTGGAGAACACTCGGGGGGCACTTTCTGAGCAGCATGAGAAAGTTGGCAGACTTACGGAGAACCTCAATGCCATGAAAAAGCTCCAGATCAGCAAAGAACGTCAGTCAGCGCTTGACAATGAGAAGGAACGGGACAGCCATGAAGATGGAGATTATTATGAGGTCGACATCAATGGCCCAGAAATCCTAGAATGCAAGTACAAAGTGGCTGTGGCAGAGATTAGCGACTTAAAAGAAGAGCTTAAAGGCCTAAAGGCCAAATATGAAGAGTGTGACTCTAAATATGAAGAGGATAAGAACAGGTATGAGACAGAAGCCCATGCTCTGACAGAAAAAATAACTTCATTGGAAAAATCTAGTAGGCAAGATAGGGAACAAGTTGTTAGATTGGAGAAGGAACTCAAGAAAGTTAGTGATGTTGCCGGGGAAACGCAAGGCAGCCTTAGCGTAGCCCAGGATGAGCTGGTCACCTTCAGCGAAGAGCTAGCCAACCTGTACCATCACGTCTGCATGTGCAACAATGAAACGCCAAACAGGGTGATGCTGGATTACTACAAAGAGGGCAAAGGAGGACGCACTAGCCCTGAAGGCAAAGGCCGCAGATCACCAATCCTGCTCTCTAAAGGCCTGCTGTCTATAGACTTAGGAAAATCAGAAAGTGGCAGTGGTGACAGTAGTCCTTCTCCAGTTTCATCTCTCCCATCACCAGTATCTGATCCTCGCAAGGAACCCATGAACATTTACAACCTGATTGCCATAATCCGTGACCAGATTAAGCATCTGCAAGCAGCTGTAGATAGAACAACTGAGCTGTCACGGCAGCAGGTGGCTACTCAAGAACTTGGACCAGTAGTGGACAAAGACAAAGAGGCTCTTATGGAAGAAATCCTGAAGCTGAAGTCCCTGCTAAGCACCAAGAGAGAGCAGATAGCCACTCTGAGAACTGTGCTGAAAGCCAGCAAACAGGTGGGCAAGTGTGTGTGTGTGCACACGTGTGTGTAGAAGAAAGATTTTACACAGATCTTGCATTTTAAACAAGAGGAATTCAGTAGATAAATACCTGCATGAATCCAGGCATGAAAAGAAATGCTAGCTCACTCTTTCAGTCAAGACATGCAAATAGTATTTTAATAGCTGCATACACACTAGCCCCTATGAGCCATCTGCTGTATCACGCCCCAGTCAATGTGAACTTTTCCTGATGGCTCAGAGAATGTGAGTTGGACATTATATTAAAATTCAAGGATCTCCATCCCTGCAGTGTCATAGAGTTCGGTAGCCAGAGAGTTCTTAACCCTCTTCTTGAAAGTAAATTCCTCTGCATGTGAGTGCTCTCCTATAACCCACCCCTCCCACCTCTTGCTGCCTGCAACTCCTTCATTCCAAGTCTTTGTCTCCCCTTGCCTGAATAAGGGACTGTTGTTTCACATGCAAAACTGCACTGCAGTAGATAACTAGACATTGTGATCTAAAAATCCATTAACGTGAGTTTTATTTTTTTACTTTGACTTAGCTCCTAGACCCACTAGGTTCCAGTGTCCATTTTGCTTCTGCCCAGTACCCGTTCTCGGAGCTGGGTGGGCAGTATTTTTGATATCAAAAGTTGGCATATGTACAGTTATCTCAGTTGTTGAATGCGCATGCTGCCATTGCTTCTTTCTTTCTGTTAAGTCATTCAGGTCCACTGAGATGGGGGGATCAATTGTACCACTTTTAGTTGAAGGTGTGGAGGTGGTATCAAAGATTTAAATATGTCCCTTATCTTAGAAGCAGACATTTGCAGACTTACAGGCAGAAAACCAGCATATCAGCCATGACAGGTTAGATTAGAATGATTTCTCCTATGCGCTAGTTATTTTTTGTTGTAGTTATTTACATTTTTTTAAATTTCTGGAAACATCTAAACCTAGCTGTAATTTAAAGAGGCACAGTCCATTCTTCCACTTCATTCTACTGCAAACTTTTTCCAACCACGTGGAAGTATATTTCTGTAAGTATTTTATAATCCTGCGTACAGGTTATACTGTTTAAAATGTATTTAACCCTCCCTTGAATCTGCTCTTTGTGGCAGCCGTGAGAAAAGCAAATTCTATACTCAGGATCATCAGGAAAGAAAGTAAAAATAAAACTGTGGTATACAAATCTGTGGTGCAGCCACATCTCAAATACTGTGTGCAACTTCTGGTCCCATCTCAAAATAGAAAACTTAAAACTAGGAGAGGTAGAGAAATGGGCATTCAAAATAGTCATAGCTGGGGAATAAAAATGTTCAGGGTTTTTTTTTAATCTTGGAAAAAAGACAATACAGGGAGAGGGGGAATGTAATAGAGAGAATTATGCATATTATAAAGAAAGCAGGTAATGAGAATTTTTCCCCCTCACTCAGAATACAAGAGCTCTGGGTCCTCCAGTGAAATAAACTTAACTGCATATTTTCAAAGGGAAAAACAAAACACTTTTTCACACAACACACAATTAATTTATGAATTCCTTGCCATAAGATTTGGTGATGTCAACTAACTTGGCTGGCTTTGAAAGCAAATTGGACAAATCCATGGTGCAACCTCTTGGCTGGGAGTCCCTGGCACTCGTGGGTTCTGCAAAAGGTCACCGGGGTTCTGTGAGAGATTGTGATTATATTGAAAATATATTGTGTGTTCTCTCTGTGTCTCTGTCTCTCTCTCTCTCACACACACACAAAACTTATTGCCTGAGGAGCCCTTCCAGGTGCTCCAGTTGCCTAGGAGATGGGAGGGGTCCAGGGAAAGTCCCTGTCCATGATGGAAGGGCCGGGCGGGAAGCACGTCCTCCTCAGGTTCATGGTGAGGGGTGCAGCTGCAATTCCCTGTGCCCGGCATTAAGCCAATGGCCCTTATTTCCTTTCATATTCTCCTTTCATAGAACACACTTTCCATGATTTACAGATGGGCACTGGCCACTGAGATGAAGGGGTAAGAAATGGGGCCCAGTCGGTGAGCAGTAGGAGGAGGAAAGTAGCGGTCCACTTCAGAGTTTCATGACAAAAGCTGGGTCAAGTTGTAGGATGCCTATTGCTTAGCTATTTTGTTTCTTATTTAGATCTGTGGGAAGAGTATTCTCAAATGTAATAAGATGTGATTTATTTAATTGTCCTATGGAACTGTCTAATTCCTGTGGAGTTACTCTTCTGCAAACCCATTTTGGTATTTGAACAGATTAAAATACTCTTTATTCAATTACTAATGAAAAAGTTCCGTTAACTGCAAACATTTCTCTTTTTTTGTTTTTGTTTTTGTTTTTTTGCAAACAAGACGGCAGAGGTTGCCCTTGCCAACTTGAAAAGCAAGTATGAAAATGAAAAGGCTATGGTTACAGAGACCATGATGAAGCTGCGTAATGAACTGAAAGCTTTAAAGGAAGATGCTGCTACCTTCTCTTCTCTGAGGGCCATGTTTGCTACAAGGTAAATACATAGGATATTCAATATAAGAAGGTTATAGAAGACATAGAAAAACTTACTTGCTACTCTATCGAACTTGTGATGTATAAAGATAATTTTCTTAATTGATTAATAACAATGAGAGAGAGAATGATTTTCTGCAGATTATTATTCACAGAATTATTTTCTGTAGTAAATTCCTTTTTTTCTGGTTCACACAAAAATATAAGATGTTCTCTTTAACAATATGCATTCCACACACAGCCAATCAGAAATTCCTAAAGTTGATTATGTGTGTTATTTATAACATAAAAGTGGAGGTGAGTGCAAGTTGGGTTGTGAGTCTATATTTTAAAAGAACAAAATAAAAATTAAAACATTATGAAGGTGTAGCTATAATTGAACAATAAATAATCATACACAAAATCTGGTAACTTTAGAGGGATGTGTTAGGTGTTTATAAAAGGTGACAATATAAACAGACTTGTCCTTCCCTTACCATTCAGTTTAATCACTGGACTACGGTGTGTGGAGAAGGTTTGTTTCTCTCATTAACAGATGTGCGGCTGCTGGAAGGCATGGCTATATATCACATGCTATGAAGGATGATGTGTGTTTTATTTGTGGCTTGCAAATCATCACCTGCCACAGGCTTCCTATTTAAAAGCAAAATTGTTGGGGATAAGCATTGTGGGAATAGGGAAGAACCTTGTCACATATGTGCAAGTTCAGCTGAAAAGTCTTTGAGGAAATAGCTGTAAGGAAGTTATTCTGGAAATGTGATTGGTATGTAAAAACAGTGGACTTTATGGGGCGATGGTTCACCTTTGTAACATTGGTAGGTTGTGGAGATGAGCAGAAGGCTGTTCTGCTATTTTCTCTTAAATGGGGTCCTATATGTTTCAAGAAAGTATTATAATGCACCCCTGATTAAAATAGGAAATGTGGCAGGCTTCAGGGAAATTCAAAGAATGATTATATCAAAGTTATATATTACAAAAAAAGCAAACGGTGCTACGTGCAGAGTTTTTTTATTGTTTCTCTTTCATCTACCATGTACCTATGTATTGATTATTAATTTGTAGTGAACTTTTACTTTAAGTCCAAATAAGTAATTATTGACTATCAAATGTCCCTGTTGTTGGATGTCTTCATTGGATCCCTGTCCTTGTTCCTTTGTTGACATGATTGGTTTGGAAGACATTTTTATTGTATCCTGGTGCATTGTCTTTGTGCTGTTTGTGCAGCATGCATTTTGAGTTGTGTTAAGAGGAATCGTTGATAGAGCAAACCAGAAACAGAAATTCACAGCCCCTGTACCTGCATATTGAATTATGTATCATGTTATGCAGTCAATGGTTTCTGCCCCACTTTTCCTTGATCTCGCCTGTAGCTTAAGTTTCCTGCTTTTTCTTGGGAGCTTTTTCACTTACGGTTCTCAATAAAGTAGAAGTCAAGTCATGCAGGCAAGTCATACAGAGAAAACGTTGGTTCTAACTTCCAATATGGCCTTATCAGTTAAAAAAAAAGATGAGGTCATCATTTCCATGCTGTTGGCAATTATAGTAAGAGGCAAAGTTGAAACAGAAATTACATGTCTCTGTCTGACATTCTGGCAGAAGAGGTGGCCTGGAATAGATTCCCTGAATTCCAAATATAAGGTGTTTAGTAAAAGACTAGGCCATCCTTTTATAGGATGGTGCCTGTGAAATTGGTGCAATGGCATGTCTGCCATAGGCTCCCAGTCACTCTTTAAGCCAGGGGTCTCAAGCCCGTGGGCCAATTGCCAGGACGGGCGAGGCACGGGGGAGGGGCCCTGTGGCCTTCAAAGCGCCGGCGGCACCCGGGCCGGCCGCGGGATGAGCGGCCCACCACCACCGCGGTGGTGGAATACTTGATGCGGCCCAGCCTCACCCAGACTCTACTTCCAGCGGCCCCCAGGTAAGTTGAGTTTGAGACCCCTGCTTTAAGCAGAAAGGAAGGCAGCTCAGAGGTGGGAATGAAACAACCACTGTGGTAAGATGCATTTTTAACCCCTATGAAGCAAGGGATGTAGGTCTGGATAAAAGAAAAAGTTAGCTGAAGGCTTGTAAACTATCTATAATTTAATCCAGAGGTAGACAATTGGCACTGGTAGACACCAGTGCAGTCTTGGACACTCTTCTCGTTGCCTTTCAAGTCTCCTCTTCCTTCCTACTTTAAAACTCAAAACAAAACAACATTTCTTACAGGCCAAAGCCTTCAAAGGAAAAGTGAGGACCTCTAGCTGCTCCTGTCCTCGTTGTCCGTTCATGACTCTGGGCCTTACGTGAGGCTCAGAGGCAGTCTCAGGGAGGACAGATGGCTGCAGGCAGGTGTGCCTGTTTGTGGTGGTGCCCTGGAGAGTTTCTCAGATTACCAGATGTGCTCTCAGGTTCCAGAACCTGACTACCCAGATCTAAACTGTTGCATTTCTCACTCCCTGTAACTCCCTGCCAGGATGACACTTTCCAAGGAAAACTCTTGAGGCTAGGTTGTCAAAACACACACATTGCCTGGCAAGCAGCCAGACTGGTTGCTTGTCATGTCAGGAAGGTAATGTAATCATAAACAGCTGAAGGTTCAACATATGGGTTAGAGATGGGACCTAAAAGTGAAAAGGGAGGGTTCTCTAGAAAATTACAGTTGGCATAAAGATCAAATCAGCTGTTTTTATTCTCAATTCTGTAGGGTATATGCAAAATATATTGGAATATGGTCCTGTGTGAGACTCTTAAGAGTCCCATATAAGGCCATGTATGTTGCTTTAATTGCCATTCTCTTTATTATCCACCTTTTTAATAATCAAAACAATATTGAGGGCTTTCTGAATCTCATTTAGGGTGCAATCCCAAGTCTACTTACCTGGAACCAAATTCCCTGTAAACCTAAAGGAAATCACTCTTTGATAAACTTGCTCCAAACTGAGCTATTTGTACTTCTAATAGAGTTTAGTGCTGCTGAGCATAATCTAGTACAGAGTATTACCCAAGGATCTGTTTGCTAAGTTTATTTTTTCCATAGTCGCTTTTAAGGAGAATGGCTGACAAGTCATCACTCTGATTATAAGTGAGCCTGCAATAAGTTGTATGGGAATAATTAATGGCAGATGACTCTTTCAAGTAATGATTTTGTGCCATGCCATGTTATAATGAAATGCAGTCTGGAAAATATCCCGGGATTAATTAATCATTTTGCAGACAGAGCATTGAATTGCAGATTATTTAAAAATGTATGTGGAGAAGTAATAGTGTGTGGCACTGTTAATGACCTATACTGATGCTGAACTTCTATTGAAGCAGTTAGTAATATAACTAGTAACAGATTAATCTCTGGTATATTTTAAAGAGAATAATATAGCCACTAAATACAGCATTTTAAAGGTTCTGAGCTTTGCCTTATCCTCAGCCATTATGCTGTTTTTTCTCTTATGCCAAAAACTTCAAATTTATTGCTGCATTTCTTACTTGAAATATGTCAAAATTAGCAACATGTACATTAAATCTTGAATTCCTTGTTTTATTGTTGGGGCAAGAATGTAGTTGCTATCAAAGCCTTAGTCCTAAATAACCTTTCCTTTGTAATTCTGAAAAAGATGTATCAGTACTACCTAAGCATGTAAACCTAGTGAAATTTCATTTGTCTTGTATTCTTCCCCTTTAATGGTGCCAGTTTAATAAATTGGCTTTGCTGACACTATGACAGGGAAAACCGGAGGCAAGAACTTTCTAGTCACTGGCTGCATTTGCGCAAAACAATAAGCAACAATTCTAGTACACCAGGATTTCTTCCTGCTTGGTTTCTCCCAGCCAGTGTGATTACGCATGTCATCCAAACCAGAAATCCTGACTGTTACTCCTCTTATAAACCAGGGAGCAACAAGCCAGGATTCTCAGTTCAAGTGACAAATCAGTACAATGTCAGAATCTAAATATACGAATAGCAACTATAGCATATACATGCAGCTGTAACATATCAGTGAGAAGGGGCTGGGAATTATACGATGTTTTACTGTTATTACAGAGACTCTGCAAGAACTCTCTTGCCAGAACTCTCCTCTCTTTCTCCTTGCATCCATGAGGGAGAGATTGAAAGTATTTTCTGTCTGATACAATTGGCTTTCCTATCAAAACCCTGATTTGGAATATGCAGCAATGACCCCGGGATTTGACATGATTGGCCCTGAACGTTCTCTGCACCACGGAGCTTGTATAACCTGGAGCTGAGAGCAATGAAACAAAATAAGTGGAGATGGAGAAAAACTCCACACTTACCTGTGCCTGCGGACAAGTAAATTCAGGGAGAGTGAAATATGCTGTGTTTGCCACTCTGAGCCACCCACCAGAGCATTTCAGAATTGCCCTGGTCTTACTGTGAATTGGCCCTAAGGATGCTGTGGATCCACAGAGGCCTGCTATGATATATTTGCAAGGCACTTCTAAGATGAAACCTCTGTCACCTGCTAGGACTTAAGACTCCAGTGTTATAGCAGGCGAATCAGGGGAGGAATCTACAGCATGGTCTTGCCCACTTTTGTTGGATGAGTTTCAGCTGGTACTGCCTGAGGACACTGACAAGGTGCATCCGTAGTGGTTCCTTACCACTGCACTAGCCACTGAAGATGAGCAATGTGATTTATATTATGGCTCCGGTTTAAAACTATTGCAACAGTATATGCTTTAGAACCTGTGGGCTGTAAAAAAAACTCTGAAACTTGATCAGCAATTCAGGATACACAATAAGAAAGCAGGCATTTCCATAGTGGAATGGCTGGATTATGAATTGTACAGAAAGTAACTTCACAGTGGAATGCTTTAGTGGAAAGAAATATGCAGTTTGTCATGGTATAACTTTTATTGTTGCTCCAAAGCCTGCAGTTATTAACACTCTGCAAATGTAATGTAGCAGAAGTTATGCAGACATAATGGGATTAGCTTCATGATGGGCAGGGCGTGGTGCAACGTGCGTTCAAGGCTACTGGAAGAAAGTAGCAAGATGTTGCCCTATTTTAGAAATATATAAAGTGTACATGCTACTTAGTTCTGTCTCTCAGTTCTGATTGAAATGCACAGGTCCTAATGTTAGGCAGAGAACAGATGTAAATGGAAATATGGTAGTCTTTACGTGAGCAGAGCTGGAGAACAATTTTTGGTACAGAAATAATAGATTCCAATTTGGATAGTATTAACTTCATGGTCCGAGGATGTGCAACTAACATTCCCGATAAGATACAGTTCTTTCACACATGCACATGCGCATGTAAGACAGTATGAGTATAAGGTTCATTTGCTGAATGCACGGTTAAGACTAAAAATCATGCCCCTTATGAAAGGTTGCACCTCCTTAAGTAAGATGGTTGTAAGTTCTCGAGCTGATTAATTTTGACTATCTATGTAGTCTTGGAAGCCATATACTTGCATAATTAGTATAACATGTAAGCCAGGAAATACTTTGTCCTTCAGATCAGTGTGTTCTCTTGGCCTACAGATTTTGCTGCTCATACATGTGAAACTACTTGTGAAGTTTCAAAAGTGACTAAAAGCAATACAATGTGAACTAGCCAATATTCAAAACTGTATTGTTTTAAAAGTGCTTTCTCTCATTGCAGATGTGATGAATATGTCACCCAGTTGGATGAAATGCAACGCCAGCTGGCTGCAGCTGAAGATGAGAAGAAGACGCTGAATTCATTGCTTCGTATGGCCATTCAGCAAAAGCTGGCTTTGACTCAGCGCCTGGAGCATCTTGAGCTGGACCACGAGCAGTCCAAAAGGGTGCGCACAAAATCCGCTTCCAAACCCAAGAGTAGTAACCCCAGCGTAAGTCATATACGATCGTGTGGAGACAGGTCTGAAGGGTCTGTGCTTAATAACCAGGTGTTTTGCAGTGAGAAATATAAAATCTATTGTGATTAAGAAGGAAAATAGGAGGCTATAAATATGCTTCTGTTTGTGCTGTTGAATGTCAGCATAAATCCCCACTATATTAATGTTGCAGTGATGAGTGGTTTGTACTAGTATGTTGTTAAACCATGTAATACAGCCTGTATTATAGTGGTCTTAACTGTAACTGATTCACACGCATGGGGAGGGGGGATGCTGTTAACAACGAAATGGTGGAAAAGCACTTGGCTCTTTCCATGATGAACGACTGTGATTTTGCTGTTTATGGGTAAGTGTTAAAGGTGCGTGCCAGGTTCATTGCACCTGGTGTTACTAACTGTAGCTTGTATAGCACAAATGTGATCCTTTCCCTGGGTGATGAGCAAGGGGGCTAACTTCACTGGCTAAGAGATCTCCTTGCTTAATGTGTTTGAGAAGTGGTGGAATGAAACACTTAAAATTAGGTCTATAGTATGGTATTAAGAAACTGTGCTTAAAATGAGAGCTGAATCTAAATTAAAACTACACTGACAATGGGTTGCTGCCATTGTCATTACTCAGCTAATTTGAAGAGATTTCTTATCAGCTGTACAAGCTGGGACAGCCTAATAGGGAGGATACCTTTTGAAATGCTGTGGTCATCACTGACTTGGCTGCAGAGAGTTAACCTAGAAAATTGCACAATTTAAAAAAAGAAAGAAAGGGGATATGTATGCATTATTGCCTGTTCTGAAATAAAACTTATTGCTAGGAGAAAGCAAACTTAGGATCTCAGTGCTTCAGAGCAGTTGTGTCGAGAGACATTACCACATACTACAAAAGTTTCAATAGTGTCGTGTTGTTACTTTTATGCCAGGAAGATGTGTTACACATGGGGCTTCACCTAGCCCATTAAACTCATTTTAATCTCCTTGATTTCAGTGAGAAAGTTAAACAAGTGCTTAACACTAATTTCAGTCAGTGGGATTTTAAAGTGATTAAAGTTCCGTCCATTATTACTGTATCTGCACAAAGTACGTATACAGAATTAATAGGAGTATATGCTAGTATTGTCAAGTTGCAATGCAGTTCTACTTAACTGTCAGTATTAAGGCTTTAATAGAATAGTATTGCAGAGCTCTGAGTTTTGTTTAAGCGAAAAAGCAAACTGCATTTCTTATGCAAGCACACATTTCACAGGGCTCTACATTCTAGGCACCAGAAATTAAAGAATCAGTTTTTTCTTGCGAATAATTGTGAAGTAGGTTAGCATATATGTAATCTATAAAAAGATAATTTCATCCGGTATTGAACTTTTAAGGGCCCTTTTAAGCCACTTAATTTCAATATGTCTGATGATTTTTTGAAAGTGTACTTCATAATTGGTGCCTATTGAAATGGGAATGATACATGACTGGAGGAAAAATGTTGGTTTTAAAATTGTGGTAAATTTAAGGAGCACACTGAGGCACATTAAAAAAAGAAGCAGCAGAAACAAAAGATTCAAAAGTGCCTAGCCCCAAACTTTATTTTAATGTAAAGCCCTGTTCATTTTGTACTCTTTTCAAGTAACTTTGTATGCCTAGAATATTACTAAGAGTGATGCAGGACTGCACAGCTGTGTCTGCTGATAGTCGTACAATTATTTCCCCCCCAAAGCCATGTGAACGCGGTGTTGTACTGTCTCATCTCACTTTTCCTTTTAGATGATCAGCAGCTTGCTTCCTCTGTATTGCCACTCTGCCTATAAAGTAGTTAGGAGATCAAGCAATGTTGCTGTAAGGTAATAAGGGGAGTGCTGTCTGCTTCCCTAGCAAAGGAGAGCCAAGTAGTGCTTGGATCTCTCGAGAGATTAGGAAGAAAAACAAACAGGAAGAACAAACTGCAATCTGAGACGGTAAAAAAAAGTCCTGACATCTAGAAACTGGATGATTTGAAGTGATATATTCTAAGCTATACATGATTATGAATGGTCCAGTTTAATGTATTACTGAAGATTTGGCAAACTTGAGAGCTATTTTTCAATAGGTTGCCTAGGGTCAAAATGGCAGGTCGTCTATGCCTCGCTTTATTACCACATTTACAGAAAACAGTGTATTCTCCTAAATCTGAGCTTTAATATTGATATTTAGCAGGTTTTGAGATTTTTAGGGGCAGAACACCTTTTAACAATGTTCAATCCTGCTTTTCTCCTCTTTGATGCACAATAATCCAAAAGGCCTTTTTAACCCCTCCCCCTTTTACAAAATGCCTTGGAAATTACCAGGCATTTAGAACACTTAAGCTATTTTGCTCCATTAGAAGCAGCAATCACTTTTGCTTCCATATTGATGGGGAGCTATTAATCACAATTCTAAGTGGATCCTTTTCTCTGGTGGTGCTCGTAACACAGAATACTCACAAGGGGAAAGGAAATTTTTAAGAAATCAATTGCATTGGCAAATTTTCAAGTTAATTGATATGAAATATGGAGGTTTCAGTATTGTGAGATGGCCATAGGGTGTCAGTTCATTTTGCTGGATATAGGTTTTTCCCAGCTGGAGAGTTTTCAACCGGCTTAGTAATACTTCCCATTGTTATGTCTACCCTTTTCACACATCCATCCCCACAAACAAATCTTCAGTCCTATCAGCCCTTGCCCCATTTTACATTTGGGACATTCACAATATCTGTGTTTAGAGGGTAGTACCCAGGAGCAGCCCAGCTGCACTTTTACATGAAACAGCTGGATGTGTGTGTGTTCACTAGGGGTAAAATCTGGACAGAAACTTGGAGTAATTCCAAAGATGATTTGTCCATGTGTGTACACTGGGGTTGTGTTTGGGTAGACTTGCACCTACTGGGTTATTCATTTCCTAAAACTAACTATATCATAAAGCTTTTTTGAGTGGAGATAAAGCATGGAAATCTTACTAAGCCATCACCTACCTCTGCAAGCAGGACTTTTCTCCTGAATGATTTGACTGATCTCGGTATTAGCTGGCATGATACACTGACTGACCTGCATGTTTCTGGAGAGGCTACAGCTTCATTGATAACTTCTCTTGCATTCTTACTGTTTACTTCTGCTTGAGCAGCATAGCTTGATTTCAGGACTTGTAAGGAACTTTTCTTCCTGCACAGCTTTTGCTAACAGACGGTGCAGCAAAGCATTGTTTCAGATGCTTGAAGCACACATAAGCTACATTGGCTTCTTTACCTTAGAAGACTAACAGATGCCCCTCAGCTGACTAATGTGCTCTGGACTTCCTGCAGCACACATTTGTGTGCATTTTAAGTTTTCCTTTCTTGAATTGAAGAATGACCTTTTTTTCTTCATTTCTAATATTTTTGTTTTTATTTGTCACTTTCCACTTTCCAGCTGTAGAGTAGTTCCTGAAGAAGGCCATTGCAACAGTGCAGCTTCGTATCTTAACCTGTGTCGTTATGGTTAGAAGTGGTGGTAGCCCGTTGCACAAAGAATGGAAACCACTGCTAATGTATCTCTCTCTTGATTTTGTTTTTTACTTAATGCAAAAACACATCAGTTCCAGTATGCAACTGCATTGTTTTTTCATTTTATTTTTTGGCATATGATATCTGGATACAAAGAAATACAGCTTTATCCTTTAAGTGCTGCTGCAGGAAGAAAACTTACAAATGCTGAAGAAAAATACTTCATAATGTAATAATTGCCATGGTAGCTTATTATGGCTTATTTAGAAATGTTCAGATGGGTATTTTTTCTTTATTTCATTATAAAGCATTCATTTTTAAAACAAAACAAACAATGGTCTGATTGTTTAAACCTGTGCACTTTTAATCTTTTGATATTTACTTTAACGTCTTTTTATTCTTTTTGTAGAAGAGTTTATATTAAAGAAAAAACCCAGTGACTTATGCTAATAGACTCCCTTCTTTTTGGGCTTGTGCTTGATGTTTTCCCATCCGCATGTGGCAGAGTTTATACTATATGGTTTTGCTCTACACTGTGTTTAGAAAAGAGCTTCAACACAAACCAGGAGTTCTGCTAAACTATATATTGTGCTGTGCATCAGCAGCTTTTTCTTTCTTTTTAATTATAAAATGTTAAGCTTTATCTGTTTTAAATTACTGATTTTTGACTGCCATGTTAATTGAGAAATCCAGGGTATTCAAATTCTGGGGTTTTTTCATATTGTATTATTATTCTTAGGAATAGTTCAATGTAACAAGAAGAAAACTTGACTTTGCTCTGGTTAAAACAGTCATAGGCACTTGAAAATAAATATTAGTGTTACCTATAACTTCCAGAATGTCTGGGTTTTAGGAAAAATCTCATGGTGTATGATTGGTTAACAGAATTTTATACAACTATACCACTTAAATTCCAAATTGGAATTGTTTTTGTTACTACTTTGTTTTATTGTGCCAAATTGTGGTACATTTTAGAAAGACAAATTCTAAAGTTGTCAGCGCCAGGGTGTTCTATTTCAGCGCCTTTTTGTCATTTAATTGTTGCCGGTAGTGCCTTTCATAATTTTAAAGGGAGAAGCCTAGGCTAGCTTAGTCTGTGCGAGAAGAAAGGAACCATGGTTTTGAAACCTAGTAGCGATGTGGAGCAATAAGTGCAAAGCAAACTCCCCTACCGCACATTTTTAATGGGTGAACCTACTATATAGATGATATATGTGCAAATTGTAAAAAATTCTGTTAGTCAATGATACTCCATCATGCAAATTCAGGGGCTCAGAAGAAAAAAAATAAATGAACAAATCTTAAAAGCAAAACCCGAATATATTTCATGAACCAAAATGGACTTTATGAAACAAAAATAAGCAAGATGTATTAACACATTTGTGGTTGCAGTACAGAAGATGTCTTGGGATGTTTGGTGTTCTGGTAGCTTTGTATGGTGGTGGATCCAGTTAACCATAGTATTGTTTGCAAATGTGAAGAAGAAAAACAAGGCATTTAATATTTTTCTCTTGCATGTTTTATCTAATCCATTGTGATTTCAGGAAACAGAAACTGAGATACGCATCAACAAGATGTACCTTTTGGTGCTATTTGTTGAGGCCAACTTCGAATGATTAAATTTGGTACTTCTGGGGAAGGAGAAACCACCTTCTTCCTCATAAAAAAGAAAGAGACAGAAATACAAAGAGAGTAGTAATTGTAATAATAATAATATTAACATGGGGAAAGGCTTTCTGTTTGCTGGAAGAAACTTTATTATTCCTAGAAGGTGGGGACTTATATTTTCATCTTTTTGGTTACAGTATTGATTCTTAAGTGATTACATTTAAAATTACATCTCTATGTGGGTATTTATTTGAAATGTCAAAGTACTGTATTATGTTTTATGTGCATTACCTTTTAGTGGTGGATTGGTCTCCATTTTATTGTCATATGCATGTACTTTTGCCAAGTAACCTTTACACAGACCTGGAAAAAAGAAGCTAATGTAACTACTTAAAAGGAGTATGTGGGAACTGATTAAGGTACAACTATTGTGTTAAATTGATAATTTTAGGAGGTGTAGAGGACAAAAAATTAATTCTAAATTAATGGAAAAAGAGTGCATGTTTTATAGGAAAGCAATCTACCTGTGTAAAGGTAGTCACATTGGCAGTATCAATAAAGGAGAAAGAAGACATTCTGGCTGGTGTATTTTTGAGTTATGTTAATTTTCTTTCTTGAAGTATTTCAGGACTTTTAAACTGATAACGTACAAAGAATATTTCATTACCCTTCTGGATAGTTTTGCATAATATAAGCCACCCAAAGTTATATCCCACTGATTTAAGTGGCAATAATTTAAACATGGATACATAAGTCTCCCAATGAAATGGAACAGATTTAGAAGGGATTAAACTGTGGCTAGATTTAGTGCTACGTAGTATAAAATGCACACAGACATAATTAAAATACTCCAAATATATTACCAAGGAAAACTATAGTGGTATTTCACTTTATTAATAGTATTATAATTTATGGAAAAAAATAGCTTCCTTTCCTATGTGGTGGCAAAAGAGGGTTTCCATTTTATTCCCATCCCATTTATTCTATGTTGCAATATTGCAATAGACCAACCTTGATGAACTGGTGCCTTCAAGATACTTTGGACTGGGAACTCTCATAAGCCTCCACACATTATATCCACAGTATGTCTGATGTTCAGAAATGCTTGGAGCTGTAGTCCAAAAGACCTTGAAGACACCAGGCTGGCCAAGGTTGCAATAAACCTATAACAGTAACAGAGTTCAGTCAAAGTAAATACAATTCAGAGAAATATTTAGTCCACAGTGTTCTCCAGTGGATCAAAAACATTAACTGTCATGATATAGTTTTCCTTTTTCCTTTCCATCTACTTAGAGGTGTCTATTGTACATGAAGCAAAATGTTCCACATTTTTATTATCAGGCATCACTAATAACATTAACAGTTCCATTTAGATGCCATTTGAATTGTAAAATGAGGACCTAGAAGCAGTAAGAACAGGTGTTATTGCACTTTATCCCAGGAAAAGTAATCTTCTACAAATGTAACACACACTCCCACCTGTCATGAACAACCGAAGATGTAATGCTGAGTGCTTGATGCTTGGCTGTAGTGATGTCCTCGTCATCCAAAATAGGATTGGATTACAGTGTTACCTTTTGCTATGAGAACAGAATAGTTCTGCAACAGCCTTTCCCACCCCAGTGCCCGCCAGGTGTTTTGGCAAACACTTGTGTGGGAAGGGCACCTGAATGGGGAATGCTGGTTTTATAGAATTAGCTGACTGATCCTTGGAGTTGAGCTTTCTCTTTATTTTAGTAACTTCAAAAAGTGCTGAAATTATTTGCCTGTCTGTCAGTTTCATTTTTTCTTACATTGCATCCCTGACTGATAGAGGAACATAGCAGAAGTGATGCCTCCTGTTACCTAGAAAAAGAGAAAGAGAATTGGATTTAGTAACACAAACTCAACACCTTTCTATCGAGAATTAACGCAACCAAGTTTCATGGACAGTATTTCTACTCACTAGCGATTCACTGTGCATAGTAGAAAAAATTAAGTCATAGTCTAGACTTTGGCTTAATAGTTTGCCACAAAATTCCTGTTACATCCTCTCTACAATCTAAATTAGTCAAATTTCGTGGTTTCACCTCTACCATCTGAAATCTCTTATGTCATGTTTCAAAAAATTTTATATTATGCACCAATGGCATGTATGTGCACAATGTGGGCCAGTGCATTAATGTGTAATCTTAGCCTTAATCATGTATTGAGGTGCTCAGGCATGCTCTCTATGTTGAGGTTATAGTTCTGAAGTGGAGTTGTAAGCACATTCAGTTTAACACACTTTCAGCACAATCCAGTGAGGCTGCTTGTAGAATTCTGAACTTAGGTGATTACAGACATCCTATGCACCCTGGAAGGGGAGCATAAGGGTGAATATCACCTCTGTACTCCTGTCCTGCAAAGCAGCTAGAGAGCCAATTCTGGCTACTTGATGGCTGAGCTTCAGAAATGGAGGGAACAAGGCTACAGTGCTGCTAGAGTATGTCCTATCTTGGTAACAGTGGTCTCCTCCCCTCCCCACCCCTTCAGAATGCTAACTAAACTATCTCTGAGGTTCCTCTTCCGTTCTGTATCAGCTGCACTGTATGGGGAGGAATCTGAGCACAGATTTCCAGCTCTGCGATTGGGGCGATTTTCTACCTTGGAGTTGGAATCCAAATCATCCTATGGCCCTCTAGACATTGTCTGTGGACCATAGGATCACTCTGGTAGAAGCAATGGCATGGCTAAAAAAAGTGCTCCATTGCAACTTCCATTCTCACTAAATATTGGCTATGTTGGCTGATGGGAGTTGTAGCTAAAATGCCTGGGGGGACCCAAGTTGTCCCCATCTTCGTTCTACAGTTCATGCCTCACACATTTGATTGGCTGTTGAATACCTGAATATGGTCTCTGAGAGTTGAAACAACCTGAAACTCAAGTTATGAAGGTTTTTTTCCTCTTGAAACTAGAGAAGCCAGCTTTAGCTTCTGAATTGCAGTTTTGGAGATGGGGACTATGCCTGTGGCCTGCTTTTCCTTCAAGAAGCAGCAAATGATACTCTTAATATTGCTTACAACTACCCAAGCCTTATTCAGGGATTATTACCTCATGTGATTAATATGTCTGAATGAAAGCAGAGCTGTGCCTTCTGGCTCCTACTTCCACTGCCCATGTCTTGGGGTAAAGTCTGAAAAGAGGAACCTGCACACACAGATTATACCACAAAAGGTTATCGATCCATTTTGCTGTTCCTAATATCTCTCTTTTAAATAACTCTGTGGCCTGTTAGGCCCTTGGTTTGGTACACTATAGGACAATAAGTGCCTTAAAGCAAATGAGCAATAGTACAATGAGCTCCCTCACTTGCTGACTGACTGTGCAGATCACTGACTTAAGCTTGGACTAGAAGTGGTCCAGGCTTCAGTCTTCCAGGCTCAGTTCTCAAGAGAGTTAGTGAGTTATCTTCTAGTCCACAGGTGTGGTCAGGAAGAAATCAGGGACCTCACCAAGCCCATCTCTTTCAGCCACTGATTGGCCAAATGAAGCAGAACTAACACGGTTATTCCTACAGGCCTGATTGGATATTTATGAGATTTTGTAATGCTCCAGTGCAGAACATAGAAACAATCTGTTTCTATATGGGACAACTGGTGTTCTGGTTTGCAGATGCTCAGACTGCAAGAAACATTTGCTTGAATGTGTCCATTTTATCCCATAATATGTTTTAAAAATTCACATTAACTGCCAAATAATTGTGCATATAATTTCTGCCTTAAGCTTGAGTCTGTGCACATGCACTCAGAACATGTACACAGACTTGTTGGTGCTTCCACGTAAATGGGAGCTTCTATCACAAAAGATGCACTCCTTACATATCCTGTTTTATTGTGGCTATACCTGCACACATTTAAAGCAAAAAACAAAAGAATCCAAGTCTCTAGTCTTTGTAGAGCCCAAATATTAACCACATTTGCAGCCACTCTTCCATCTATTAATTTTGGAAAACACAAGCCTGCTCCTACATATTCGTATTTTTAGCAATGAAGTCACAGCTATCAGTTAACACACCCACTTTCTGGATGTGTTAAGCCTTTCTGGGGTCTTCCCTTTGAGGAAGTAATTGCAGTCTTATAAAAAACATTTTAATGAGCCATTCTGGTATAAACGTCAAGAGTGCAAGACTGGAACTTGGGAGATCTGGGTTCTAGTCCCTGCCCAGCAATGGAGCTGCCTGGGTGACTTTGGGCAGGTCACAGACTCTCAGCCCATAACTAATCTTACAGCATGTTTGTTGTGATGATGAGATAAAGCTGGCTTTATTTCCTTGGAAGGAAATAAGCTATCATAAAGCATAATGTAATGAATTAATAAAATGTCAAAATCCAGGATTTCTATTCAGATGTTTTGGACATCATTCAGCTCCAACCAGCACAGTCCAGAATACAGGTATTGTAGGCTAAAACATCTGGAGGGCACCAAATTGGAGAAGACTGTTCTAGAGGTTCCAAGATGAAGGAAATTATTTCAGGAAGAATCATTTCAAATTGTCAGCGTCGGATAAGCAATGATGCCATAAAATATCCTGTATGATGCTCTTCAGGTAGATATACTGTGTTCATTGGAGGGTTTCCCCCTTCTTCCTAGGAAAGAGTACAGGTGTGTTGTAGCAAATTATTATTACATTGCATTTATTTACTGCATTTTCCTCTTGTAAGAAGTCCAAAGCAGCTTTCAAAGCTCTATTTTATCCTTTCAACAACAACCTTGTGAGGTAGGTTGGGCCGAGAGTGAGCACCTGGCCCAGTCACCCGGTGCGCTTCATGTTCAAGCAGGGACTAAAACCCAGATCTTCCAGTTGCCCAGTCCAACACTTGAATGACCACACCACACTGGCGCTCAGTTACAACCTCCGACTGTTTGGCAGCTTTGCCTCCTCTTCCCAAAGAATTATTGTGAACACCTATGAATCAAATCATCACCATCTTTCCTTATGCTTCCCTTTTTATTCCACAGGGCTGCTGAGTTCTTTGAAAGGGCCAAGGAGCCTGGACTCTTTCCAGGTTTGTGGTAGGAAGAAATTTAATAGGTGCAAAAATTCTGTGAAGTACCAGACGGAAAGCAGTAAAAACCAAAAAGCAGTGATGCCTAGTGGTTTGAGGTGAAATTGAAGATAAATGAAGAAGGCCACTTCCAGATAGAAATAGTCATACTACTGCTGCTACTTTTACAACCCTGTGTATGTTGCTTTGCTTGCTATAGCATGCTAGGAGTTGTAAGCCTCTCCCCTGTTCCATTGGTCTAAACATGCATGGCTTGCACTTTCAGGGACTTACAAAGGGAAGAGCTGTGGTATTCATCAGAGAAATTAGTTACACTGTTTAAATATAATGATCGTTCATTATTTTAAAAAATGTTATCTTTATTTCCAAATAAAATTAGGCATAAAATAATACGGAATATTCTCTATACTCTGTACTACCACTAAAATGGTCCTGGCACACAAATAATACAAATTTCTCACTCACCAACTTTTCTCACAGCATCTGTCTATGCTTTCTGTTACTTCTTCTCTGTAGGAACACCCAAATGTTTTGTGCAGTGTGCTTT